AGCGAAGAGATAAAGCTCAATCCAAAATCAATCAAAATGATGTTCTCATAGCCTTCCTTTATCAAGATATTTGAAGTGGTCAAGTCTCCATGAATGCAATCCACATTGTGCATGGCCGCTAGTGAAGAACCGATCTTTTCCGCAAGACTTTGTAAACTCTTATCGGATTCTTCAGACGGGACATCCAGGAGAGTGTTAATGTGATCTCTGGCTGTCACACAGTTTTCAACTTCTTCCATGAAAATGCAGTGCGTGCTGTAATCGACAAAGTAGACGGAAGGAGTACAAATTCCTGCCTTCCTGCATCGAAGCATCGATCGGACCTCTTGCGTGGTTCTTCGATGCGTTAGCTTTTCATCAAGAGAAGGATGTCTGTACGATTTTGAAAACCTCTCCTTTACAATCGCCTTTTTCTTGTAAAACTCCGTCTTGTAGACACGTGCTTCAGCGCCTTGTTTTAGCAAACTCCATTTTGAGGAATCTTTCGCCGCAAACGCCATTTTGAAAATTAACACGAGCCGGCTTACGGAACGGTCAGCGTTTGCTCTTTAAATTCACGCTCTGTACGGAACATCGTCGCCATCTTTGTTTCTTCATATTAGCGGTCTCTTCACAAGTGTGTCAAGAATAGTAAGGTAATTATAGTCGTTTTTGTGCGTTTAATTGCTAAGAATTTTAGTATAGTTTTATTTCCTGCTTAATCCTGAAATTATTAAAATGTTTTCAGCACATCAAGATGTCAGGGATATACGCGAGGTTTAAGAGCTATGCTGTACGAAGTGGGCCGTACTTGTACGATTACAGATTCTTGATTGCTGGCTTCTGCATCACTGGCTATGGTGTGATAAAGATTGTTAACGCTTCTAAAAATAAGAGTAAGTTGTTGCGTGAATTTCCGAATGCTTCACAGGAAGATCTCTTCGGTCATGATCTCCGAGACGTTGTCAGTCGAGGTATAACGGCGGGCTTTGGCAAGGGTGCACTTTTGTGAAGGTTACGCCGAAGAGGCTCTACGCCGATATTTGCTGTTTAGACTATTTAATCCTTTTAAATTTTGGAATCTTCGGCGCGAGCTTCACGTTGGCGATGGGGTTTGGAAAGGGGAGGACTTGGTTGGAATCATGTAATTTACATTTTGCAGAAAAGAATAGTTCTGCTTTGGCCACAATAGTAAACAAAGTGCGTATACAGTGTAATATGATCTGGATTGTCAGCTGGCTTAAGCCCTGGTCAAACGGCCCATGATAATTGATGATAGTTGACAAAAGTTGATGATAGTTGAAGCGCGTGCTTCTGTTTGACCACCAACTATCATGCAATATCATCAACTATCATTCATTTTGAGATTGTTCAAATTCTTCATGATAGTCGATGATAGTTTTTCTCGTTTGACCACATGTATGATATTTCATGATAGTTTTTCGGTCAGCTGTTTTGGTAATCACAGGCCCGATAGCGGTCAACATTTCCTCAAATGTTTCACATTTCATGCGCAACATTTTCTTGTAAGCAGCAGTGTCTGCCACTCACAATTCTTCCACCGATTTCAACATTCCGCTTTCGTTTCTCCTTTTGATCCATTCCCTTGTCCGTCCTTTTTTCCACCAACGTTCTCCAGATTCATCTTCCGTACATTCCTCCCACAAATCAATTATCGGTAAACAAGCTGCTGCCCTCTTTCATTGCAAAAAATTCATACTGTTACAAGTTTGTCTCTCGTGACACCAGTTTAGTGTTCACATTTTTATGTGGAAAGAGCCTGGAACTAGCTGCTCGCATGACTTTGCTCATGCGGCTGCCAGTGAACTATCGTCAACTGTCACGAACTTCTTTGGCGGTTTGACCATGTGAATGATAGTTGATGATAGTTGATAATAGCTAGGACAGAATCAACTATCATCGACTATCATGTGCTGTTTGACCAGGGCTTTAAAGAATGAAATACAGAGGTTGTTGTCATGTACAGGGCAGAGTACAAAAAATGAATGTATAACATCTTGTAGCACATGTTGCACGTGCTATACAACTTAATCTCATTCTA